AGATTTGCCCTCCCATGGGGCACGAGCCTGCGAAGCGTCAGGAGCTTCACTGGGCGTCAGGGGAATGGAGGCTTCAGGCCGAAAAGAGGCTTCACGAGCTTCACTGGGCGTCGGGGGAATAGAGGCTTCAGGCCGAGTAGAGGCTTCACGAGCTTCACCGGGCGCCAGGGGAATAAAGGCTTCAGGCCGAATAGAGGCTTCACGAGTTTCAACGGGCGTCCAAGGAATAGAGGCTTCAGGCCGAATAGAAGCGTCACGAGCTTCACCGGGCGCCAGGGGAATAGAGGCTTCAGGCCGAATGGAGGCTTCACGAGCTTCAATCGGCGTCATGGATATAAAGGCTTCACACCGAATAGAGGCTTCAAGAGCTTCAAATAGAGGCTTCAGGCCGAATAAAGGCGTCACGAGCTTCACCGGGCGCCAAGGGAATAGAGGCTTCAGGCCGAATAGAAGCTTCACGAGCTTCACCAGGCGTCAAGGGAATCCAGGCTTCAGACCGAATAGAGGCTTCACGAGCTTCAATGGGCGCCAGGGGAATAAAGGGTTCAGGCCGAATCGGCGCGTTTAGGGTTGCTACCCCACCAGTGCGTCGCACTTCGTAGGCCGAATAGAGGCGTCACGAGCCGAATAGAGGCCTCAGGCCGAATAGGAGCTTCAGGCCGAATAAAAGCGTCACGAGCTTCAATGGGCGTCGACAGAATAGAGGCCTCAAACCGAATAGAGGCGTCACGAGCTTCACCAGGCGTCAGCCGAATAGAGGCGTCACCGCAGCTCCTTGGGCGGATAGCGTCTTCAAACAGCGTCTTCGGCGCCGGCTCGAACTGGGAGCCCCCCGGGCCAGGCCTCTGGTTCTGAAGCCTCTTGGGGCGCCTTCGGGGCCCTCTTGAGGCGGAGGCCTCGGAAGGTCGGTTCGAATTCCCCCACTGGGGCCCCTCTTGGGGCCATCTTGGGGCCGTGCTGGGCGTTCCTGGGTGCCTCTTGGGCCGTCTTGGACGTTGCGAAAAATAAAAGCGAATGTGCTAGGAATGTGCGTTTCCCCTCGGGAATGGGATGATGTTGCGTCTTTGGGCCCTCTTGGAGGTGCTCTTGGAGCCGATTTGGGGCGTCTTGGGGGCCTCTTGGGCCGTCTTGACACCATCTGGGGCCGTCCAGAAGCCATCTTGGCCCGTCTGTTACCTATTTGGAACCTACCTGGAAGCTCCAGGGGGGCCGCGGAAGCTGCGGGGAGGCTCCAGGGAGGCCATAGGGAGGCCCCCTGGGGCGGAGGGGGAACTTAATGTATTTCAAGTGCCCCTGGTGGTCTTCAGCCCAGGAGCCCCCAGGGCCAGGTTTCTGGGATATGATAGATTTGCCATACGAAAGCATACTATACCAGCCAGGCCGGTTTCGAATGACCCCGCGTATTACCCATGCCAAAAACTATGCGCGCACAGTCGCCTTGCAAAAAATACTAGCCAGCGTGGCCCCAAACAGTGATTTCTTGCTATCTAAGCAGTGCAGTGTAGGTGGTGCAGAGCAGTGCAAAGCAGCGCAAAGAAACGAAAAGCAATGGAAAGCAATGCAAAGAAATGGAAAGCAATGGAAAGCAATGCAAAGAAATTGAAAACAATGAAAAGCATTGAAAAGCAATGGAAAGTAGTGCAAAGCAATCCAAAGCGACGCAATTCAAAGCAATGCCGTGCAAGGCAATGTGACGCAAAGCAATGCAACACAATGCAAAGCAATGCAAAGCGATGCAGCGGACTGCAAGACAAGGTAAAGCAATGCAAAGAAATGCGAAACAATGCGAAGCAATGAAAAGAAATGCGAAGCAATGCAAAGAAATACAAAGCACTGAACATCATGCAGATCAGTGCGAAGCAATGTAAAGCAGTGCCAAGCTACGCAAATAAAGCAATGCACATCCATGGAATGCCATGCAAAATAACGCAAGCACTGCAAAGCAATGCAACGCAAAGCACTGCAGAGCAAGACAAATCAAGCAACGCAATGCAAAGCAATGCCGAGCAAGACAAAGGACTGTAGCGCAAACTACACAAAGAAAGCAACGTAAGTCAATGGAATGACATGCGAAGTAACGCAAAGCAGTGCAGGGTAACGCAGGCCCAGACGGCGACGGGGCGGCGACGGCGACCACATAGCCGCCAGACCGATGGGCAGGCCTAGAGCGACGGGGCGGCGACGGCGACCACATAGCCGCCAGACAGACGGGCAGGCCCAGAAGACGGGCGGCGACGAGGCAGCGACGAGGCGGCGACGGGGCGGCGACGGCGACCACATAGCCGCTATACCGACGGGCAGGCCAGCCTCCTTAGAACCCCTAAGTGTAAGCACTGTGGGGAGTATCATCAAGTCCATACGCGCGCGCACATGTCGAAATCATATCAAACACAATAGTTCAGTAACCGCATCAGCATTAAAAGACATCAGCCACACGGATGATCATCATCAGGAACATGTATACATGTTCTGACCGCGCGTACTTGCTGAAACCGTCGGAAAGCCAAATGATTTTGGCAATCGCGTCCAGAACTCGCATTGCCATATCTGCGTTGATCCAGCATGCGCCCAGTGCGTTGATCCGTACCAAATAATGCCATGCGGGCTGAGGGAGTACGCCGAAGCTCTCGATCGCTCGCTCGAGCGAGCGAGCGAGGGGGCGAGAGAGAGTGGGGGGAGGGCTCGCGAGCGAGCAAACGAGCGGGCGAGGGGGCGAGCGAGCATGCGGGGAAGGCCAGGGCCGAGCGAGCGAGCGTGGGGGGCGGGGAGAGGCAAAGGGGGCGGGGGGAGGGGGCAAGCGAGCATGGGGTGGGGGGTGGGGGGGCGGGCAGCGAGCGAGCGAGCGAGGGGGCGAGCGAGCAGGGGCAAGGGTGGGCCGAGCGAGCGAGCTGCTCACAGAATACTCAAGGCAGACTGGACCGTCAAGAAAACACGCCAGGACCACCAAAAGGCGGCGGCAGACCCGAGCTGCGGCAAACTCGAGTAGCGCGTCTCCCCGAGAGACGAGTGGCTCCGACGATTCGCCGAGCCCTCTGGGAGGGGACTTGAGTCAGGAGGCCTGAAACGTTGAGAAGTGGGGGGCCCTCTCAGCAGGTGTAGCAACCCCACCCACCCAGACTGCTTCATCCTTCACGCAGAGGCGGGGGCACGGGATGGGCTACGCCTTCCATGACATGCTGTGGGGGCTCGGGGTTCAGTGGTTCCGCATGATCCCACGGAGTCCAGGCGCTGCGCCCGCGCGCCCAGCCGCAGCGTGGGCGTCACGCGCTCGCCCGCGAGGCCACGCAGGCGGACCACCTCGGCAGGCATCGGCCGCGGGAGGGGATGGGGAGCCCGCCGGGAGGCCGCCGCCGACGTGCCGGTGCCCGGCCAGGGCGCTCCAGGGAGGGCTCCCCAGACCATGTTCGCGTCGCTGGAAGAACACGGCGGGATGAAGAAACGGCCCCAGGGGAGGGGTCGGGGCTTCTGGGTACAAGTCGAGTCAAGTCAGGGTCCGGTCGAGGAGCCCATGGAGGCCCCTCGTTCCACAAGCGGAGACTGAGGGCGCAGATGCAAGAGAGAATTGGCGGATAGAGCAACATCACGACAACTCAAACATACACCATACGTTCCACCACATGTAGTTGAGAAATGAATGTTCTAACCGCTGCCAGGGGTCACGCTCCTGTGCGGACAGAATTCGCTAGATTCGTGCCGTGCCCTCGTCGTGGACAGGCACCGACGGCCTCTGTCCAGGGCCCCGTTTTTGAGGAAACAGCCACAAACCAACAAGAAACATCGGACGCCTGGGCCTGCAGTCCTGCGAGGGTCCCGCCGCGGTCCCGGCGAGGGCCCTGCCAGGGCGCCGCCGCCCCCCTGCCAAGGGGCCCTGCCAGGGCGCAGCCGACAGGGGCCCTGCGGCGGGCTGACGGCGTCCCGCCCGTTCGGCGGGGCCAGGCTGGCCTGGCCTGGCCCGCAGCCTGGCCTGGCCAGACTCTTTGGTCGGCGCCGCCGGCGGTCGCCAGCGCGTCTGTCGAGCTGGCGGGTCGCGCCGGGCACGGGGCGCGATGCTCCGACCCAATCTGCCCGCACCTCATCGAGCCCACGAAGGACGTACGCGCCCACCCACGCACATGAACACGGTCCCCCAATCTGCTGGACCGGCGGCGTGGTACGAACATTCGCACGATGCGTGCTCTCGAGACCAACGTGGATTCATGTGCTTATACGTCGCCATCGCTGGAACGTCCATTCCCCGTGCATGTTTCGGTTTCGTGTGTGCTTGCTTCTTTGCATAATGAGCCAGGATGCTCCTCAATGGTCCTCGCCGTCCTCCTCCTCCTCCTCCTCCTCCTCCTCCTCCTCCTCCTCCCTCCCTCCCTCCCTCCCTCCCTCCCTCCCTCCCTCCCTCCCTGCCTCCCTCCCTCCTCAGTCCTCCTCCTCCTCCCCCTCCTCATCCCGCCGACCCGCTGGCTCGTCGCCGCGCCTGGTGGTCACCTCGCGCGGGCTTACTGAGTGCACGACCCACCGCTCGACAGCCTATGCGGGGGGGGAAGAGAGAGAGAAGGGGTGGAGGCAAGCTGGGTGCGCTCGCGCCATGTCTGACGTCCTACCCCTCCCACCAAGCCTCTTTCCTTTGCGCTGAGTTTGTATCTGCGGACGCGTGTCATAGCCCATCGTGTTATGCGCAAGCGGAGAAGGGAAGCTGCGTACATGGGAGGATGAGGAGGGGGTGGCGGATGAGCCAGAAGACGAGCAGGAGGAGAAGGAAGAGGATGAGAAAGGAAGGAGGAGGACGAGGACGGACAGCAGCAGGTGGAACTGGAGCGGGAGGAGCGACAGGAGCAGGAGGACCAGGGGAAGGCGGCGGAGGGATAAGAAGGGGGGCGACAACGATGAGGAAGCACCCGGATCCAGAAAACTGCCGCGCGCTGGGGCGACTGAGCGCCGACCCCAAAAACGAGGCAAACGATGCACTGGCAGCACCATTGTGAGACACGGAGGACGTCCCGATTTGAACGGCTAAGGAAAGACCAACGCTTGAAGCTCTGTGTATATACGGAGGGAGCAGGCCGGCTGCAGGGAGGGGGGGGGGAAGGGGGAAGGGAGAGCCGGAGAGGGACGTCGAGGCGAAGGGGGAAAGAAAAGAAAGGTGGAGGGGGAGAAGAGAACAGAGGAGAGGAGAGGAGAGGAGAGAAGAGGAGAGGAGAGGAAGGGAGAGGGCAGCAGAGGAGGGGAGAAAGACAGGAGGTGGAGGACGAGGAAGACGAGGAAGATGGATGAAGGACGTCGACGACGACGACGACGACAACGACGACGACGACGACGACGACGACGACGACGACGACGACGACGACGACAAAAACGACGACGACGACGAAAACGACGACGACGACGAAGACGACGACGGCGACGACGGCGACAACGGCGACGAGGGCGACGACGGCGACGACGGCGAAGGTGACGACGACGACGACGACGACGACGACGACGACGACGACGGCGACTTGGGGCCCGCCGCCTCGCAGTAGTCCGCCTCGTCCTTCTCGGAGAAGGGCGCCCGATGCGCGCTGTCCAACCTAGCAGCTGGGGGGTCTCGCACGCCGCAAGGGCACGGGCTCTGAGCTTAGCCGCCCCGGTACCCCGATGCGCAACACGTGGCGTACTGATACGGAGTTCAACACGTGTCCTGAAAACGTGGGTCAGACGCAATACTTTCTTCAAAGCTTGGGCCAATACGTTGAGCCAACACGCAACGTGTTGGCACGGACGTCTTGAGTACAGCATGTGTTGCGTATCAAAACGTGCGCATCAAGGCAGCTACGGCTCTGAAATCTCTCTCTCTCTCTCGCTTTCGCGTTCTCTTTCTCCGAGCCTCGGGGGAGGATGAGGAGGAGGAAGAGGGGGAGGGGGAGGGAGGGTGGAGGAATGAGGGGCATGATGCTTGCACCTGCGAGTTGTGCATGAACATTCGCTACAATGTGGCTGAGAAAGTCTCAAGCGACAGCCACCTTTGAAGAGGAAGAGCCATCCATCCGCTGAGTGGTTGCAGAACTTGAGAGACATGTACCCGGGCATAGAGCGAAAGCCCCATTTCGAGATGCAACCCTCACGTTACCGTTGGAGCTGCTTCAAATCAAACTGGTTGAAGCATGATCCTGGCGAAAAACACAACAAGAAGCGGCTGTGAACACCGCGTTGTGGTTACCACGAAACGTGTGAGGGGGTGTAATGCTGGTGGTCGGGAGCGCATACGGGCTGTGCCACTGGGACCTTGGGTGAAACTCCCTATGAGGCCACAAACCGTGCGAGGGCTGTGCCGACATGGGCGGCGTGGACGCATGCGAGCTGCGCCACTGGGACCTTCGCTGGAGCCCCCTGTGGGGCCACGAAAGGTGTGGCTAGTGTGCCGAAATGGGAGGCGCCGATGCACGCAAACGGCACTATTGAAGCCTTATGTGGCGCTCCCTGTGGTGCCACGAAACGTGCGAGGGGTGTGCCGAAATGGGTGGCGGGGACGCGTGCGAACGGCAGGCACCATTGACGCCTTGTGGTGGAGCTCCCTGTGGGGTCACGATACGTGTGACGCACGCGAACGGCACCATTGGGGCCTTGTGTGGAGCTCCCTATCGGGCCACGAACCGTGTGAGGGGTGTGCCGACATGGGCGGCGCCGACGCATGCGAAAGGCACCACTGGGGCTTGGGTGGACCTCCCGATGGGGCCACGAAATCTGTGAGGGGTGGGCCGACATGGGTGGCGGGGATTCATGCGAACGGCACCACTGGGGCCTTGGGTGGAGCTCCCTGTGGGGCCACGAAGCGTGTGAGGGGTGTGCCGACATGGTTGGCGGTGACTCATGCGAACGGCACCACGGGGCCTTCGGTGGAGCTCCCTGCGGGACCACGAAGCGTGTGAGGGGTGTGCCGAAATTGGTAGCGACGACACATGCGAACCCTACCACTGGGGCCTTCGGAGGAGCTCCCTATGGGGCCACGAAGCGTGTGAGGGGTGGGCCGAAATGGATGGCAGCGGGGACGCATGCGAACGGCACCACAAGGGCCTTGGGTGGAGCTCCCTATGGGGCCACGAAACGTGCAAGGGGTGTGCCGAAATGGTAGACTGATGCGGGGAGCAGAAATAAGGAGGGGGAGAAGGGGAGAGGAGAGGAGGAGGAGAAGGAGGAGGAGGAGGAGGAGGAGACGCGGGGAGTCTCTTCAAAACAAAGACCCAGCTCCGAAGGATGATTTGGAATAATGCGTTCGGTAAACAGGCGACGCAAATCAGCCTGGCGAAAGACCCAACCATATGCATTTGTGATTAACACAGTTGTGGGTATCGCCTTCGGTGGAGCTCCCTATGGGGTCACGAAACGTGTGAGGGGTGTGCCAAAGTGGGTAGCGGGGACGCATGCGAACACCGCCACTGGGGCCTTCGGTGGAGCTCCCTATGGGGCCACGAAACGTGTGCGGGGTGTGCCGAACTCGGTGGCGGAGACGCATGCGAACACTGGGGCCTTCGGTGGAGCTTCCTATGGGGCCACGAAGCGTGTGAAGGGTGTGCCAGAATGGGTGGCGGGGACGCATGCAAACACCGCCACTGGAACCCTTCGGTGGAGCTCCCTATGGGGCCACGAAACCTGTGAGAGAGTATGCCGAAAGGGGATGGCGGGGACGCATGCGAACTCCCTGCCACTGGGGTCTTCGGTGGAGCTCTCTCTCCTATGGGGCCGCGAAAAGTGCGAGGGGTGTGCCGACGTGGGTGGCGGGGACGCACGCGAGCACTGCAACTGGAGCCTTCGGTGGAGCTCCCTACAGGAGTCACGACACGTGTGATGGGGTGTGCCGGCATGGGTGGCGGGGACGCATGCGAACACCGCCACTGGGGTCTTCGGTGAAGCTCCCTATGGGGCCACGAGGCGTGTGAGGGGTGCGCCGAAATCAGTGGCGGGGACGCATACGAACACCGCCACTGGGGTCTTCGGTGGAGCTCCCTATGGGGCTATGAAACCTTGTGCGGGGTGTGCCGAAAAGGGTGGCGGAGACAAATGCGAACACCGCCTCTGGAGCCTTCGGTGGAGCTCCCTATGGGGCCACGAAACGTGTGTGGGGTGTGCCAAAGTGGGTCGTGGGGGCGCATGCGAACACCGCCACTGGAGCCTTCGGTGGAGCTCCCTATGGGGGCACGAAACGTGTGTGGGGTGTGCCGACATGGGCGGCGCCGACGCATGCGAACACCGCCGCTGAGGCCTTCCGTGGAGCTCCATGTGAGGCGTGTGCCGACATGTGTGGCGGGGACGCATGCGAACATCGCCCCTGGAGCCTTGGGTGGAGCTCCCTATCGGGCCACGAAACGTGTGAGGGGTGTGCCGACATGGTTGGCGGGGACTCATGCGAACGGCACAACTGGGGCCGTCGGTGGAGCTGCCTGTGGGGCCACGAAGCGTGTGCAGGGTGTGCCGAAATGGTTGGTGGGGACTCATGCGAACGGCACCACTGGAGCCTTCGGTGGAGCTCCCTATGGGACCACGAAGCGTGTGAAGGGTGTGCCGAAATGGTTGGCGGGGACGCATGCGAACGCCGCCACTGGAGCCTTCGGTGGAGCTCCCTGTGGTGCTACGAAACCTTTGAGGGGTGTGCCGAAATGGGTGATAATGAGGGGGAGGAGGGAGGAGGGGGGGAGGAGGAGAGGAGAGGAGAGGAGAGGAGAGGAGAGGAGAGGAGAGGAGAGGAGAGGAGAGGAGAGGAGAGGAGAGGAGAGAGGAGAGGAGAGGAGAGGAGAGGAGAGGAGAGGAACGCGGAGACCGTCTCTTCAAAACGAGGACCCAACACCACAGGCTTGGGAAAAACTGCTGACAACAAACCGCCTCCCTTCCCAACTTATGAGACGGATGCGCACGTGACTGAGACATGAACACCATGTTGAAAACGAACCACCCTTCATCAGTGCAACTGCTGCGACAATCTAACACGAACGTGCACGGCGCTTGAGACAAAGCCATAGATCCTAAACGGGCCCTCATCCATCTGTCTTGCTGTTGGAAATGTCATAACTTTGGGGCCACAAGCTGTGTGGCAGCCTCGAGCGAAACGCCCAGCCCTCCCTGCCGACACGCCTGGTGGCAAAACGAGGAGGAGCGACTTGTAAGGAACAAGGATGGAGGAGGGCCAGATGAGGCAGGAGTAGGGTGAGGGGGAAGAGAGAGAGAGAGAGAAAGAGGGGAGAAGAGGAGGACGAAGAGGAGGAGGAGGCAGGCTCGGGGGCTCCTGGAAGGTTTCTGGCCCAAACAGGCGCTGAATCCGGTCCGCGCTGAATCCCAGCAGACGGGCCGGACGCGGCACTGACAGCCGCCATCATCCTAGGACATCTGGCGCCGCGAGAAGACGCGAGGGGGATGACAACGACGACAAAGAAGAGGACAGGGCCCAGGAGGAGGAGCGAGAGTTCTCACGTGGGGAGGGACGAGGGGCAAAGGAAGGATGGGGGGCCCAGAATTCCTCCTCCCCCTCCCCCTCCCCCTCCTCCTCCTCCTCCTCCTCCTCCTCCTCCTCCAGCTCCTACCCTTTGTCCTCCCCCGCCTCCTCCCCTGCTCCTCCTCCTCCTCCTCAGGGCCACCACCTCGGACCCCTTTCTGGAAATTCTGGAGAATCCTCGAGAATCCAACCAGGACACCCCAGACCATCCTCTGATGACTCCAAAGTCCGAAGACCCGCATCCTCCTCCTCGCCCATGCCCTCAGCTTTCCCCTTCCTCCTCCTACTCCTCCTCCTCCCTCCCAAAAAGACAAAACCTCGACGACGACGACCACCACCACCACGACGACGACGACGACGACTAATTGCAACGAGGGCGAGGCGACGCGGGCGAGGCGACGACGACGACCGACGTTGTCCAGAGGCCCCTTGAGGTCTCCGGAGGCCCCCAGAGGCCCCCTGGAGGAGCCCAGAGGCCGAAGCTCAGGGCCCATGCAGCGCAGTGAAGCAGGCGTGACGCCGATAAGCATACATCACCAAAAAGGCGCGCACCCGCCGACGGAGTGCGATCCATCCAGGTGGTGACGCCGAGGAAGGGCAAAGAAAGCCCCATAACCTCGAGCCTCAATACCCGACCGATCGATCCAAAATCGGCGATGACGTCGACGACGACGACGACGACGTCGACGACGACGATGACGATGACGATGACGACGACAACGACGACGACGACGACGACGACGACGACGACGACGCACCAGACCCCCAACTTCGACTGAGCCTCGATCGACTGCTGGATCGAGGCTCCATCGACCGATGCATCGAGACTCGATAGACCAATGGATCGACAGAGACGACGGCGACGACGACGACGACGATGACGACGAAGACGACGACGGCGATGGCGACGACAGCGACGACGACAACGACGACGGCGACGACGACGACGACGACCCACCAGACATCCTTCAAACTGATCTTTTCTGGACGTGGGCCCCCAGACCGTTCGACCCCGGGGCTCAAATTTTCAGCATCAACAACTGCCACCAGCAAGACTGGATTCGACCGCTTGAAACCACTGCTTGGAAGCGCTGCAACTTTGATCAATCTTGCTCGAGAGCCTGGACTCTGGCCGATCCACCCGAAATGGTCGAGCTGCACTTCGGGCGGAAGACACCCAAGACAAGCTTCCACTGCTTCTGCTTCTGGGGCGGACCGCGGGGCCTGGAACGGGGCCTCCGGAGGCAGCAACGTGGCGAGAGACCGGCCCTCCCGATGTTTGCCGAGCCGCCGGACATCTGGGACGGCAGCGGCGGCCGCCGCGACGATCTTGGCGGCCACGCAAAAACCTCGAATCTCGATCCCCGATCGGTCCTCGATTCATCGACGAGAACGATGGCGACGACGACGACGACGACGACGACGCCGGCAACAGCGAGGGCGACCATCTTGCGAAACGAGATCTAACAAGCTTCTTTGATCTTAAGTTGTATCTCCCTCCCCTTGCATCCGCCCGCTAAGTCTATAAACCAACTCCCTTCTTGAAGGGCGTGTTTCAATACCAACTCCAGAGAGAAGCATTCAGCGGTGCATTATGTGTGCGCACTACGCCGACATGGCCGTCACGCGAGTTAACGCGCCTGCGGGCAACTTACCAATTTGAGTAAACTGCGAGGATGTTTCGGTTAAAAAGATCCTGTCGAGCGGAAGCCGTTGTCGTCGCAGCTGGGTTTTCAGTTGATTGAACGACTTGCGAGGATTTTTAGGCCACAGCGCTACTCAGGAGCGTGATGATGCAAACGACCAGGGCGCAAGCGAGTAAATTACGAGGAACGATCGAGCGGGATAGCCTGTTGTCGTCGCGGATGGGCCTTCACCAACTTGAGTGAACTTCGAGTAAAAGTCGCTGGCGAGAGCGCCATTCTTGAGCTAGGGGGCTCCCCTGGCCAGGGCGCCTCGGAGAGGAACTGTGCGGAAGCATCGAAGGGGGAGCCGCTGCCGCCGCAGCTGGGCCTTCACCAGCGTGGGCGAACCGCGAGGAGGTCTCGAGCCCGAGCGCCGCCCCTGACTACCATCGTTAAAGGCTTAACGACTTCTGCCGTCCTTCGACTCGCGCTGGAGCGGCCGCGAAGTGCTCGAACTTTCCCTGGAGATCTCTGGATTTACCTGGATTTACCCAGATTTATCTAGATTTACCTGGATTTACCTCGATTTATCTGCATTGACCTGGGTTTATCTGGCTCGATTCTCACAAGTCGATTGGCGAAAAGTCGACAAGCCCTAAGGGATACCAGGGGCCTCTCTGGCCACGGGCGCCTCGGAGTACACTGTGAGGGAGCATCGAGCAGGAGCCGCTGTCATCGCACTGGGGGCTCCAAAGACCGGTACTCCAGATTTCGTAACAAAGGGAGGGGGGTCTCATTTCGGGGGGGGTCTCTTCCAGGCTATCTTGGAGGGCCTGGGGGGTCTGGGGACGATGTTTTGGAGGGTTCTTCCACGGGGGGAGGTCTGAAATGGCTTGTCTTGGAGGGTCCAGACCCCCTCCCTTTTATTACGAAATCTGGAGTATTTGGAACCAAACCCGCGCTCGAGAAGCGGCGCCGCTGGAGCAGAAAGTGTAACCGGCGTCGAGGCGACAGCACCCGAAAGACCACTTCCGTAGATCCACCGCCATGCTCTTCTGGAGGGAGTGCTCCACAACCGACGAAGCTCAAAGGTCCCCGGAGGTCTGGGAGGCCCCGGGAGGCTCCACGCCAGGGACAGAGGGAGGGCCAAAGGTGTCCACCAACCTTGAGCCTCAGCACCGGATCGATCGATCCTCGGTCGGCGACGGCGACGGCGACGACGACGACGACGTACCAGACATCCGACTTTATTGTCCCTTCGAGGCATGGGCCCCCCAGACATATCCAATCCCCGTGCCCCTGGGAGGCCCCTTCGCGCCGCGTCGTTCCTTGGCGGCGCTGCCAAGTGATACGACGCTCCAAAAAACCGCAGCATTAAAAAAAAAAAAAAAACCTGACTGGAGCCCCGGGCCCCATCTGTCTGCGCCCCGGCCGGATCGGCATGTGAGGACAAGGACAGGCGCCCGCGTACGCCCCAGGGGGCGGCCCTCTGAGAGCTCGGCGGGGGCGCCAGAGCGCCGAGAGTCAGATGTCGCAGCACATGATTTCCTTCACGGGCCAGAAGTTTGCATCATCAGCTCAACCACACACGGCCCCTCCCATAGGCTTGAGCCCGGGGCGTTATGCAATTCTAAGAAGGGGCGCTCGTGCCACACGGACTCTTGCACGATGCGCGAGGGCCCCCGGGCCGGAGGCCGGGCGAGAGCGGCTGTGGGGACCAGCGGCGGGCCTTCCAAAGTGAAGGGGCCCCGGGACACACAACTAAACACACACACACAAATAAAAGGATTCCCCACATCTTCCTATCTTTTCTGGGCTTTTGTCTTCCCCCCCACTTCCCATATTTTCCCATATTTTCACATATTTTCCTGGGAGTCGACGAATAATTGTGTCTGTGTCTTTTTCCCCTCCTGACAAAGGGCCGAGAGAAAGGCGGAGGGTCTACCAGCTCGACCCGTGCAGGCCGACAACGCCGAGGGGCGGCGGCCAGGCGCAGGAGCGACGGCCCAAGGCCCGATCGATGGCCGATCGATCGATCGATCCTCGATCCCCGAGCGGGTGGGTCCCCGAAGCAGGGCTCGAGTGAAACAGTGTCTTCCGTCTTCGTGTTGTTCTCGTCGTCCCTAGTCTTGTCTTCCTTCCACACTTTGTTGCAGAACGACGTCAAAACGAAAGCGGTCCACGAGATTGCCAAAACTACGGGGCGTGCAAACGACCACAGCCACCGCTGTTCTTTTGTTGCCGCCTTCCGCCCGCAGAAACAAAGCAGTGGCTGTGGTCATTTTCGTTGAGCCTGGCACCAGGGAAATGACCACAGCCACTGCTTCTTTTTCGGCCGGCTGGAAGGTGGCGCAAACAAGAAGCAGTGGCTATGGTCATTTTCCAGTCCCGCAAAAACAGCGCTTCGCTCGAGCCCTGCCCCGAAGGTGCACCAGATCCACCAGGGGTTCTCCTCGGCGGCGGACGAGGGAGGGAAGAAAAAGAGGGAGACATGGCCCTCTCGGCAGGCAGGCGGGGCGTCCCAACAGCCCTCGCCCTCCTCCTCCTCCTCCTCCTCCTCCTCCTCCTCCTCCTCCTCCTCCTCCTCCTCCTCCTCCTCCTCCGCCTTCTGAGAAAGGTTTTTGTCCATGCCATCGGGGAGAGATTCCAGAGAGACATCTCAGAGGGCTGGGCGGCTTCCGAGCCTTCTGAGAAGGCCCGCCCCTTCTCGCTTCCCCCCCCAGGGCTCGCCGCCGACGAACCGCACACGATATCCACCGAAGTCACAAGTCCTCGCAGTCTACACGACTTGCGAGCAGTGGCCCCCGGAGGTAAGACCGCGAGCAGCCCCGACCGCTCGACCTGGTAGGGGCCCAGCGCAGACACCCGGTCGTCTGGTCGGCCGAGGAGCTCGGTGGATGGACGCCTCAGCTTTCCGTCCTGTGGAAACGGAGGAGCGCCTGCGCACCCGAGCTCCCCTCGCCGAGCTCACGGGAGGACTGGCCGACCACCAGGAGGAGGAGGAGGAGGACGAGGAGAAGGAGGAGGAGGAGGAGGAGGGAGAGGAGGAGGAGGAGGAGGAGGAGGAGGAGGAGGAGGAGGAGGAGGAGGAGGAGGAGGAATGCATCGAGTCCCTCCGACGATCGGGCGGTCGGCGGCGGCGGCCGCGAGGGGGAGTGCAGTCGGACCTGGGCCTGAAGAGCATCCCTCAAGAGCACGAGACCCTCGGTCGCCCCCCCCTCCCGCCGAACAAAAAAAAAAAAAAAAAAACATGGCATCCAAGGGTGTCCTCCCCAGGCTGCACACGAAAAGCCGGCGAGCACGAAGGACGCCAGGGTGCCGTCCCCGAGCCGACCTCGATCTTGTACCCCGGTCCGACCGTAGGAGTGAGGGGCAAGATAGGGGGGGGACTGGCATAGGGGGGCATGCATCGACCTGGAATCGGCGACACATCGCCGATAGATCGGCGATAGGCCTCCGATCGTGAAGCTGCCCCTTCCTGGGCAGGTTGGGGCTATCAAGTCCCCATTGGCGATCAATGGGCGATTGGGGGTCGATACGTCCCCCCCCTATGCCTGGCCCCCCCTTATCGTTGCCCCTGAAGGAGGGACCTGGCTCAGCGGGGGGGGGAAGCATGGAGCTCGAATCGACGATGCACCGCCGACAGGTCGGCGGCAGGTCCCCCACAGCGAAGCCACACGTTCCTGCAACGTGCGAGGGGTGAGCCAAAAAGGACACGCGGAGGGCAGTGCCAGGGAAAGGAGGAGGGAGAGGGAGGAGGAAGGAGAGGGGACGCGGGGCGCTGTCTCGACGTCTCCTCAAAACGAGAACCCAACACCACAGGATGGTTGGGAAAAACACAACTGGAGCCAGGGACCCCATCTCCCTGAGTCGCTTTTGAAGCCGAAACGATGTGTGCGGATCCCGGTGCCCGAAACCCGGAGAAAACGCCTGTCGTGAAAAAACTGCAACGCCAGGATCTGAGGGCGTGCCCCACCCTAACGCTGCCCCCGAGGCCAAACCCTGACGCGGAGGTCCCGGCGGTGCGCCCCCGGGGGCCTCGCGAGGGCCTCCCGGAGCACCGCCTCGGGCGAGCGGCAGCGCCACCTCGCCGCGCGGCGCGCGGCGCCATCGTCGTCGTCGTCGTCGTCGTCGTCGTCGTCGTCGTCGTCGTCGTCGTTGCCGCCGCCGCCGCCGCCGTCGTCGTCGTCGTCGTCGTCGTCGTCGTGGTCGTCGTCATTGTCGTCGTAGTCGTCGCTGCCGCCGCCGCCGCCGCCGTCGTCGTCGTCGTCGTCGTCGTCGTCGTCGGCGTCGTCGTCATCGCTGCCGCCGCTGCCGCCGCCACCGTCGTCGTCGTCGTCGTCGTCGACCGCGTCGTCGTCTTCGTCTCTGTCGGTCCATCGATCGATCGAGGCTTGGTCGTTCATGAATCGATTCGAAGTTCGAAGTGTCTGAAAAAGTGTCTTGAGCCTCTGGTAGCGCCTCCAGGCGCCGCCTGGTGCCCGAGAGGCCTCCAGGGGTCTCCAGGAACCAGGGACTGCCTGGGACCGAGGACCTCCAGGGACGAGGGACTGCTGGGGACCTCCTGAGTCCTCTGGCTCGGCGGACACGAACGGGGCCGTTCTTGAAAATGCTCCGAATGCCTGCTTCTGCGAAAACGAAAACACACATTCCCCAAACAGCACTTGCATTTAGGAGGTCTTACTTCTCTTCTGAGAAGGAACTGGGCCTGACGGGCGGTCTGGTGGCTCCGTGTTCGCCGTCGCCGCCCCGTCGCCGCCCCGTCGCCGCCCCGTCGCCGCCCGTCATCTGAGCCTGATTGCCGCTCTGGCGGCTGTGCTCGCCGCCCCGTTGCCGCGTCGGCGCCGCCCGTCGTCCGGGCCTGGGTGCGGTCTGGCGGCTCCGTGCTCGCCGTCGCCGCCCCGTCGTCGCAGTCGCCGTCACCGCCCAACAGATAGTCCCTCTTGAAAAAGAAATGGGATCTACCAGCCCCCACCCCCCTGGGTTTAACGGGCCACCTGTTTATTCAACTAGTTTTCCATATCATTTTGCGCACTCGACCATCCTAAATATGAACGCGTACCATCCCAGACAGTCTGGTGATCGACCCCCCCTTCTTCTCCGCGTCAAATAATATCATGCGCGCACACTTCTTCATCTTCAAAAACCTTTGTTTTAGAACCTGTTTTGGAAAACCACAAAAAGCATGATGAAATGCACACGCGCGCGTCGTCGCCGCGCGCATCCCGAAATCTTTCGACAACTTCAGGTGTCGTAGGGACTTCGAAATCGAGTGCCCCGAAAATATCAGAGTGAGGGGCCAGACGGTCAGTCACTGTCCCTGGGCGCGTGGCTGAAGTGAGGTTTTCCGGTGCGGACTGTTGTTGTTGTTGTTGTTATTGTTGTTGCTGTTGTTGTCTGTTGTTTGTTGTTCGTTGTTGTTTCTTGTCGTCGTCCCCCCCGCGACCCGGCCCGCGACCCACCCGCGACCCACCCGCGACCCACCCGCTGACCCACCCGCGACACGGCCCACGACCCACCCGCGACCCACCCGCGACCCACCCGCGACCCACCCAGTGCTTGAACGAAAACATCGACGCCTGCGGCGAGCTCGTTGTATTGTAATAATGAGGCGCCCGCCGTGGGTTTCTTCAGAGCCTCGCAGATTGCCAACGTCCCCGCCGCCGCCTCACTCTTATCCGCAACTGCGGGGTGCCACATATAAGAAAACATGGATTCGCAACAGGAATATTCAAAAGAACCTGCGTTCGCGCTCCTGCGACGTCTACACGGACCCTCACTTGTTTCAACATTTCGAATGCGACCACACGGGCCCTTCACCGGCGCATGTCGAAATCATTCGAACGCCCTCTTCGCGCGTGTTGTCGCAGAAACCCGTTGCACAAAGCTGGGCGACATGCACACGCGCGCGTCGTCGCGCGCATGCAGAAATCCTGCAAAAAAAAACCTGAGGGTTCGTAAAGACTGCAATACCGAGTGTCCCGAATACATATATATATAGGTGTATATGTATATGTATACATACATAAACAAAAGGATTCCGCAACAGGAGAATGGTTGCCTGCTCTCGTGCTCTGGCGAATCCTCAAAAAAAGACACAGTTTTCTTTAACATGTTCACCAAATGCGACCACACGCCTCACGGGCCAATCGCGCGAGCATGCCGAAATCATACGAACACCTTTGCGCGCGCGCTGGGGGGGGCATGACCCCTGCCAAATGTTACCGCGCGGGTCACTCGCGCCAGTCGGCCGCGCGAGCATGTCAAAATTGTTTTAAACCCTTCATCGCCGACACGCGGACACCATCATAGTCCTCGGCATGATCAGCATCGGCACTAACATTGACCTTGCCGTCGTCATCGTCATCGTCGTCGCCAACATCGATACAATCATCATCGTATCTGCCATTGTCGACGTCGCCGTGCTACCACGCACGATCGCACGGAAATGCCCGCGCGCCAGGGGCGCGCGACACCGCAGCCGCGCCCGTCGCGCCAGACTAACTGGCCGCTCTGCGCACGAGCATGAGCACGCTAGCGCGACCGCAACGACGCGCCAGCCAGCACCAAGCAGTCACCGCAATCACCACCGCATGGGCTTTGCAAAACAAAATTGCGGGTGGGTGGGAGGGATGATTGCGCGAGCACTCGAGCTGACACTTCACTGCGAAAAAACAATTAATTGCACCGCATACGTTCTCCTTCTCCAAAAAGAACTAAAGACCAACCACCACCCCCTCCCTGGGATTTTCTGTTCGCCTTTTCGTGTTGCATTTTACATACGGATATGCCCCATCGTTCGTTCTGGACATGATAACACATTATCCCAACCAAACCATGCTCGACCTCCCCCCACCACCAACCCCACCATGCTCTGCAGAAAGCACTACGCGCGCGCACTCTGCAAACAACTGAAAAAACTTTGCAACATGTGAAACGAAGCGCACGCGCGCGTCGTCGCGAGCACATGCCGAAATCTGTCATAAACCTCCGTCTTCGTAAGAAGTTCAAGATCGATTGCCCCGGCAACAGATTGAAAGCACATGGTGATGCATAATGGTTGTTCGAAAAAAAGGTCTGCGCGAACGTTCTTGCCAATTTTTTACAAACAATAACTGCGTCTACATGTTCACCAAATTCGACCAACCAGCCCTCTCGCGCGCACGTCGAAATCGTTCGCACGCCCTTGCGCGCGTGCCAGTGGGGCACGATCCATGAAATACGACCATGCGGGCCACTCGCGCCCGTCGGCCGCGCGAGAATGTCAAAATCCTTCCCAAACTTCATCACTGACACGTGGACACCATCATCGTCATCGGGCGTGGTCAGCATTGGCGCGTCATTGGCCTTGCCGTCGTCATCGTCGTTGTCGCCGCCAGCATCGCTACAATCATCATCGTGTCTGCCATTGTGGACCTCGCCATGATACCGCGCCCGCCCAAGCCACCGACTCGCTCTGAACTGCCCGCGCGTAATCGCGGGTTGCAAAACGCGTATGGAAGTCCCCAGCGGTGCGCGCCAAAGCGACCGCGCCGGTCGCGCTGGACTAGCTGGCCGCTCTGCGCGCGAGCCTGCGCGCGCTGGCGCGGCCGCAGCGACGCGCCAGCCAGCGCCAAGCAGTCATCGCAATCGCCGCCGCATGGGTTTTGCAAAACAAAATTGCGGGTGGGTGGGTAGTATGATAGCGCGAGCGGTGGACTTGACAACTCACTGTGGCACCGCATAGATTGCAACACCTAGATTGCACCGCGTATATTGCACCACATGGAGTGCTCCATATTCGACACCGTGCCTTCAGCACTTAGTGGAGTGCTCCAAGGCTCATGCAGCCCTGAGAAATAAAGGGCTGAAAGACCTGGACCACCAGTTTCACAACGACTCCCAAGGATTCCCAGGGATTGCCAGGGATTGATGGGGATTGCCGCATGGCCAAACTTAAGATAGTCGATATCAGTGCCACCTTCTCTTGAAACGAACCCCTCGTCACCCATTGATCTCGGCCATCGTGTGTTTGATTGTCGCTGGAGCCCCCCCGCGTCTGCTTTCAAAGAGACGCACAAATAGCGGAGAACAAACCCAGTCAGGGCGTCCCTCTACAGACTGGAAAGCCTCACGCCTTGCGAAGGAAGCCGTGGCGGGCATCCTTCTCAAGTAGGGAGTAGCCTGCTCCGCTAAGTACGGCTTTGGCATCCATCAGAGACTTGATCTCTCCGTTGCGCGCCTCCTTGCGCACCTCGAAGAATTGCATAAGCCTAAGCCACGAAAATATATACACTAACACCCGCCGACGAGTGTTTCCTGTACCTGTGAGGGATGGTGGTGGTGTATGAAATCGCTGGCGCCAAGTGGTCAATTATACACCGTCACCCTCCCCATGAGGACTAGGAATAATCCGCTGGAGGGTGTCAATGTGTATTTTTAGGTGGCGGAGAGCCAATCGCATTCGGCGTGCAGGGAGGCGATGTACTTCATGGTTGCCTGAAGTTCCTTGAACGTCGCGAGCTTGGTCCGCTTGAGCTCGGAGAGGTCCATCCCGAGGTCCGCTTTCAACTTTTCCTTGTCAGCCAGCGACTTGGAGTCCTCGGCGCGCTTCTTCGCCGACTCCCCCATCATTGCCTCGTAGTCCTTCTGCGACTCCTTCTCGTCGGTCTCCGCCTCCTGCATCTCGGTGTCGAGGTCCTTGATGAGCAGGTCGATCATCGCGATCACGCCTGAGGGGCAAAAACAAAAAATCACTGTCACGCCGCAGTGGGGGAGCGCGCCAGGGGCGGCGCCGGAGGCGCCGACGGGGGGCCTCCAGCGCCGATCCGGGAAATCCGTGCGGACCTCCGAAGGGTGATGCTTACGAGATTCGCTACTCCTCGATTGGTGCTTCTTATTCAGGTGGCCACTTGCGAACCCTACCCCTACCCCCCACGATCTCTGAGGGGGAGGGTGGGGTTCACTTCGCTCAGGAGCTCCCGAGCGAAGTGAACCCCGCCCTCCCCCTCAGAGATCGTGGGAGGTAGGGGTAGGGTTCGCAAGTGGCCCCCTGTTATTTCTCCGTACCGAACCTGTGCTCTCCTGCCCCTTGTTCGCGTACGCGTCCCAGGTCTCCGGCGCCGGCGGCGGGGCCACCTCGCCTGCCGCCCGGCGGTGCGCGGAGACCTGCGCGAAGACCGTGACGCCCGTGTTGGCGATGCCGCCGGGCTGCGTGGTGGTCACGATGCCGTCGGGGTTGCCCATGCTCACCTGGGGGGCAGCGGTAGGGGGGGACGTCATGCTTTCCACAGCAGAACCAGCGAAACCCAAGAGACCGAGGGCACCCTGGAGCCAAGCAGGGTGTCTCTTTGCTTGGGCCTCCGCCGTGGAGGGGGGCGGCTCCAGGGGGGAACACCGACCTGGAATCGGCGATACGTCGCCAGCAGATCGGCGACAGGCCCCCGACAACGCACCCACACGTTCCTGGGCGGGGGGGGGCTGTCAGGTCCCTCTGATCGCTCTATGGGCGAGTTGGGCCGGTGCATGCCCCCCTGAGCCTACCCCCCCCAACGCTGTCCCTGATCACCACGATGCGGCTCTCCTTCGACAGCTCCGTCTTGGCGGGGGGCGTGTACAGGGAGGGGTTGTCCGCGACCGTACCCCCATGGCACGTCGAGGCGTGGTGGGATGCCTGGGTAGGTTGCTGCCTACGGGACCCCCCGCTCCTCATCACGTTTCGTTGCAGGCCGCCCCGCCCCTCCCGAGGCCACGATCCATGGCAAAAAAAATGTTGGTCTGCGCTCCCGAGGCCACGATCTCTCGCACAAGAACCACTGGATGAGCGCTCCCGAGCTTCCAAGACTGCTCAGGCAGGCAGCCAAGGCCACAACGAAGGCTGTGTAGATGACCTCGACACAGCTCAAGATGCCTCGAAGAGGGCCAAAGAGGGTCACGAGCGGTACCCCACAGTGCCCGAAGAAGCCAAACTCATTCATTGTCAAAAGGCTTTTGGTCAAATATTCACAGTCTCGCCCTTTCAGGTTCCGTCAGCTGCAGGCGGCCCAAGACGGCCAAAGAGTTGCCCAAGAGGGTCCCAAAACGGCGAGGAGCCATGATGGCCTATGAGGCTTCCGAGACGGCCTCAAGACGGCCAAGACGGCATCTGGAGAAACAGAATGCGGCCTCAGACGGCTCTTCGACGGCCCAAGACGGCCCCACGACGGGTCCACGACACCCCAACCCGAGCCCAAAAGCGGCCCCTTGGGACGCCCAAGACTGCCCCGCCGGACACCGAGACAGCCCCGAGGCGGCAAAATTGAAGTCCATGGGAGCTTCTCAAGAATTGAAAACGAAACGTGTCACACATCAAGGCTTTCCTGCCCCTCCTCCTCCTCCTCCTCCTCCTCATCCTCTTCATCATTCTCCTCATCATCGTCATCACGGCTCTCCCAACTTTGGGGACACGCGGTGTTACACGTGACGGTCTCCCGTGCCCCCTCGAACAGACCACACTCATAATGCTGGGCTAGCACGGTGGCGGGGCTTGCCGCAGGCGGCTGGATAGAACTGGTTGAGACGATTCCTGGCGATCTCCAGCAGCTCTTTGGCGGCAGAGTCCGAGGCCATGAGCGCCTTGTACTCCTCGTTCTCGGCTTTCCGCTGTGCGGTGGCCTCGGCAACGGCCTCGTCGAGCGCCTTGATCGAGGCGGTGAGGGTGGCGATGTCCTCCTTGGCCTGGGCGATGCCGCTCTCGGTCTTCTCGATGGAGGTCTCGGTCTTCTCCAGCGTGAACTCGAGGGACTTCTTCTTGTCATCGGACTCGTCGAACTGAAGCTCGCAATACTCCTTCTTGTGCTCGTCGTCAAGCTGCTCATCCTTCAGCATGACAATCATGTCGTCGATCATCTTGATGACCTTCTCGAAAGACACCTTGCGGCCAGACAGCGAGAGCATGATGAGATCGAGCTTCGCGTGACCCTGGCGGTCCGTGCGGCGGGCTGCCTGCACTGCGGCCAGCGCCTGCTTGCGCACGGCAGCCTGGGTCACGCCCATCTGCACGAGGCCGACGCCAGGGGCAGGCAGGGTCTTGCGAGCGCTTTTCAGTTCCCCAGATTCGCGGCCGGTACCATGTGGGGGAGGGGGCCGAAAGGGGGGCCCCAGAGGCTGCTCGCGGTCTCTGTGGAGGCCTTCGGGAGCCAGGAAGAGCACCACAACACCACCACAATTTGCACAGTGCGGCGGACCAGTACCATGGTAGCCTGCGAGCGACCCAACGTGCGTGTGAGCACCGCAGTGGGCCTGCAAACACAATGTGACTGTGAGCACCGCAAGGACTGTTCACCTTGTCACAGGCACCTATGTGCCAAGGCCGGGGGACACAAGCGGAGTGGCCATCAGGCCTGAGCGAATAGAACATCCAGCCGCCTAACAGAATCCCCAGGGCCGACCACACTGTTTTAATCGGCGGCGCCAACGGCCGCGGGCGCGGATGTCACTAGCGGCAGGGCGTGCGTCGAAACAGCGCCACGCGAAACCCCAAAAACACGCCACCCGAAACACCCCCACAATCTGGACGCGAACGGGCTCGTGCAATACCGCGGCTCCCCCTCGGAGTGGCGAGACCCGCGCCTCGCCTGAGACATCCTCACAATGTGCTCTGGAGGAAAAGAATGTTGGGCACCCACACAATCAAAGCGCCCGAGGCATCCCCGCAATCTGGACGCGAACGGGCCTGCGCAATACCCCCTCGCTGCTCCTCGCGGGAATGCTGGAGCCAGCACCTCGCTTGAGACGTCCGCAGAATCGGCTCTTGGATCCAAGGATGTGGAGCACCCAAACAAGCAAGCCACATGCACACAATTGGGGCGCGAACGAGCCCGTGCAATACCCCCTGGCGACCCCCCCTTGGAGTGCTGAAACCAGCGCCTCGCCTGAACCATCCGCACAATCTGTTCTGAGAGCAAAAAGGATGTTGAGCACCCAAACGGGACACCCGCCTGGGACATCCCCACAATCTGGGCGCGAACGGACCCGTGTAATACATCCTGGCGGTTCCCTTTTCGGGTGCTGAAACCCCTTGCTCGAGACATCCTCATAGTCTGTGTGCATGGGTGATTCTGAATGTGAGTGAGTCTGAGTGAGGAAGTGATGTGATTAGGTGTTGGATCTGAGTGATGATGAATGAGCCTGGGTACGGGTGAATTTGGCTGAACGTAAACGAGTCTGAAAGTGACCAGGCCTGAGTATGAGTGTGAGTAGGCGAAGGTGTGAGTGCGAAGAAGATGATAAGGAGGCTTGTTGGGAAGGAGTCGGCGAGGTCTGAGGGCGGGTGAGGTCTGAGCGTGAATGAGTCTGGGATGAGTGAATGCGAGTGCGCGCGAGACTGAATATAACTAAGCCTGAGTACGAATTGGTCTGAGTTCGAGTGAGTCTGAGTTTGACGGAAGAAGAGGAGGAAGGAGGTAAGGGAGTGTGGGTGGGTGAGGACTCGGCGCGGCCATCCCCATATGTGCGTTTCGTACTCCTGTCACGTCTCGCTGAGGAACTCTGCCTGCGAGCATCTGGGCGTGAGAGCGAGTCAGCGTGGACGACGGGCGCGGCAACGACGACGGCGACAACGACGCTTTCAGTGACGCGCTCCTCCCCTGGGCATTTCCCAGGAGAGATGAGGGAAGCACAAGTGAAAGAGCGAGAGAGCATTGGACCACCAGAAAAGAAAGGACTGAGTGAAGCTGGGCGTGCATGATCAGCGTGCGAGTGAGTCTGAACGCCACGGTTGAGTACGAGTGTGGGTGAATCTAAATACGAGAGAGTCTGAGTACGAGTGGGTCTGGGTATGCGTAAGCCTGAATACGAGTGGGTCTGAATGAGAGTGAGTCTGGGTGTGGGTAACTCTGAGTGTGTGGGTGTGAAAATGACTTGGTGCGCATGAGTCTAAGCTTCAGTGAGCCTGCGTACGAGTGGGTCTGACTACGGGTGAATGTGAGGATGGGTGAGTCCGAGTGCGAGTGGCTCTGAGCGTGAGTAAGACTGAGTGCGAGTGAGTCTGACCATGAGTTTGATGAGTCCGTCTGAATGTTGGAGGCAAGGGTACGAATGCTTTAAGCATAAGTGAACCTGAGGGTGGGCGGCTCTGAGTGCGAGTCAGTCCGAGTATGAGCTATTCTGAATAAAAGTATGTGTGAGTGAGCCTCAGTATGAGCGAGTCTGGATATGAATGAGTCAGAGTATGGTTGAATATGAGAGTCATGAGAAAGTCTGTGCGAGGGAAAGGTGCTGATGAATAAGTCAGCGTGTGAATGCGCCTGAGTTGGGAAGGAGAGGGAGGAAGGTGAGTGAGTGAGTGAGTGAGTGAGTGAGTGAGTGAGTGAGTGAGTGAGTGAGTGAGTGAGTGAGGTCCGGAGGCATCTAAGTATCACTCCAATGGGAAGCCTGGGGGGCCGAAACAGATAAACCGCCCGAGACAATCCCCACAATCTGGGCGCGAACGGCGCCAGGGACTCCCCCTTGGAGAGCTGAAACCAGCGCCTCGCCTGAGACATCCTCACAATCTGCTCTCAGAGCAAAGGATGTTGAGCACCCAAACGGGCAAGCCGCCTGAGACAATCCCTACAATCTGGGCGCGTTCGGGCACACGCAATACCCGCTGGCGGCTCCCCCTCTGGGTATTGAAACCAGCGCCTCGCCTGAGACATCCTCACAGTCTGCGTGCGTGAACGTTACTGAGTATGAGTAAGTCTGACTGAGACTGTGATGTGATTCAGTCTGATGAAGATTGAGTCTGAAGATGAGTGGGTCTGAGGGAGGAAGTGGTGTGACTGAGTCTGAGTGCGAATGAGTCTGAGTATGAGTGAGTCCGTGCAAGTCGGTACCCATATGAGTGCGTATGATTATGAGTGAGTCTGAGTGTGGTGAGCGAGTGCGAGTGTGAGTGAGGAAGAGGAGAAGGAAGCTGGTTGGGGATGAGTCGACGTGGTCCGAGCGTGAGTGAGTCTGAGTATGAGTGAGTCTGAATGTGAGTGAGCCTTAGTGTGAGTGAGTCTGAGTATGAGTGAGCCTGAGTATGAGTGGGTCTGGGCGTGGGTAGGTCTGAGTGCGAAGGAGGAAGAGGAGGGAGGTGAGGCAGGGAGGGTGGATGAGGAGCCGACGCGGTCTAAGTAATAACAAGGAGTCGGGGGAAAAGCTGGTTCCTTCTTGAACAGCTCCAGAGCATCGTCGTCGTTCAGAATCTTGATCGTCTCGGCGAGGGCCAGCAGCTCGGCGGCGCGTGTCTTCTTGCGCTGCTCCCACTCCGCGGCCTTCGTGTCGCACCCCTTCTCCAGCTCCTTCAGGAAGGCGCGGTCCTCGGTGAGCGCCCCAGACGTGTCGTCGATGTCGTCCTTGATCTGCACAATGGCGACGCCGAGGTCGCCGATCTTCGTAGTCTTGGCCTCGATGGCTTCCGTCAAGGAGTCCACCTCGGCCGTCTTGGCCTTCAACAGCTCGCCGAACGTAAAGACCGCTTTCTCCTCCGCTATCATGCTGGTGGCCAGGCTGGTCGCCATGTTGTCCCCCAGCTGCTTCAGCAGCCCGACGATCTGGCCGCTCTGCGGGGCGTACCCCTGCGAGAAGGGGTTGCCGCCGCCAGACAGGAACGACAGCAGCGTCTGCCTGTCCTCCTCGAGCATGTCCTGGGTTGCGCGGGACTTCAAGATCTTCTGGAGGACGCTGGCCGAACGAGTCTGCAGGAAGGAGCCCGCGATCCCCTTCTCCAGAGCCGCCACCGCCTTCAGGATCGCGTCAATGTTGGCAACGTACTCATCCTTGGCGGCGACGAATGCGGCATTTTCCTTGTGCCGGATGCCAGTTGCCTCTGCGATGGCCGCCTTGGGAATGCGTGATGCTTTACGCTACAACTTCATGCCAGCTCGCATGCTGGTATATCTTACAATACATATGTTGTCCTCTTTGTTTCCTCTACCTCCTCCTGTATCCCCCCGCATCCTCCTCTGGCATCAACAGAGCGTCCTCCTCCTCCACCTGCATTCTCATCCGATGGCCACCTTGGCGGCAGAGCGGTCCTCTTGGTCCTGCTTGAGACCCTCCTTCGTCTCTGCCAACGAGGCCTCGGAATCCTTTAGCTCGCTGGACAACTGGGGGATCTTGGTTTCGGCATCTCCGATGCTCTTGGAGAGGTCGCCAGAGCCCGTCTTACAATAGCACATGAACTTCTCGAACAATTCAGCCTCTGCTGCTAGACTGGGGTACTTCACCTCGGACACGTCCTCAGCGATCCAATTTGCATGGATCACTGAGGACGTGTCCAAGGTGAAGTACCCCAGTCCGAACAATTCAGCCTCTGTCTCCCCCTCGGCCGTAACCTTTGCCTGCATGGCCTGCAGCATCTGGACGACCTTCCTGACCGGGTTGGCACTGACTGCAGTGGCACCGCCCTCCGGCGCGCCGGTGGCGAGGACGAGCAGGAGCAGGGCGCCGCGCGTCATTGCAGCCGTCGCGGTTGCTACAATTCACACAGCTGCGTGGTCAGATGGCGTCGGGAAGCGTCTTCAGCCAAAACGGCCACGGGGCGTCAGCATGGCGCTCGTGAGCATATCCGCTGCTGGAGCTCGCTCGCCCGCCTCTGCTCGGGCGGCAGGCGTTCTTGCCCCGCGCGCACTTGCGGAATCTGGAAGACGCGTGTCCAAAGACGAAACACACACACAACGACTGAGTATCTTCCAGCACGATAGAACACCAGCTCCTCCTCCTCCTCCTCCTCCTCCTCCTCCTCCTCCTCCTCCTCCTCCTCCTCCTCCTCCTCCTGCTCCTCGCCCCTGCCCTCCGCGAGCTCCGACTCCTCGGCGCACGGTGCCGGGCGCCGCCGCGTGCGGGGCGCACGCCGGCCGCGTGCGGGGCGACGGCGCCATGCGGGCGCCGCCATGCGGGCGCCCAAATAGCCTGGTCGGCACCGTGTGCCGACCAGGCTATTTGGGCGGCCGCGTCCCAAAGAAAACTGGCAGAATGCGCACTTGCGAAGCATGTGGCACCGGAAGTGTCAGAATTAGTCGCACGGAAGCACACACACACATCCCCGAACAGCCTAGGTCTGTGGTCGTGTTGCTTGAACATGTTGGCCAATTCTCATGGTAATGCAAGACAGGGGCCCGAAGCGGATCACATACGCGCCCAAACAGACACGCAAACGCTACATTCGCGACCTCCACCAGGTACACTTCCCAGTTCACAGTGTGAAAGCCTAGGGGAGGGTATTGCCAAAACGAAATGGCCGAGTGGTTCACGCACCAGTTTACACAACATGACCGTGCATAATGTGGTCATGGCGGCATGGACCAAACAATGACAAGGGACGCCCGCTGGGCTGTGCTCACCTGTTCGGCACGTTAGCACTTTGATATCTAGCTCGAGCTCTAGCTTGTCCACGCTCTTGTCAATACTCTGAGTCACGACAGTCGGACGAGATGCGGCACCCAGACCAGCGCTTTCAAACATCGTATGATAGGTCGAGCCTGGCAATCAACGGAAAGGATTGTGGCATTAATGTTACTACAACTTACAATGTTGCTATCGCTCCATCGGGAAGGGTGCGGCAGACATACAAAGGAACCCACACACAGAGAAATCGGCGTCGGTGTGGGTTCGTGTCGAAACTATGGGTTTCCCAATGGCTGTCCCGTTCGTTGCCCCGTATTTTGTTCCGTGTTGCAGTGGGTAAGATTGGATGATCGATATCTAAGCCTGCAAACTAGGATGAAACCTGAATTGGAACCGATTCTGAACTGGTCCAACAATAAGTCTCACGGATTGATGATAGGATTCGTAAACCGATGGTTCGATTACGCAACAAGTGGGCAAGCCTTGGAAGTGAGTAAGCACATGGTGTGGAACAAATGTGTTATATGGATCTATTCATATAAATACATATACCGACGCTTATCGATGGCGTGTGGGTGGACAATCAGATATATGATGTTCCGTGGATGCTCAAGTAAGTGTCAGTAAAATGCACGGTGGTTGCCCAGTGATTGTCCCGTGGATGTGCCGCAGTTGCCCCGTGGGTTGTACCGTAGGTTGTTCAGGAGTTGATCTGTGGGATTGACGGGAGAAAGCGAATAGTTACCTATTCCCACTGCGCGCAGATCGGCACGGAACTCGACATGCATGCATAATTACGTCAGATTCAACGATTACTCGTCGTATGGACAGCCACACACAGCGCGCCCAGGCCCTGGCATGCGCCAGTCCACATATATGATCGCGGGCTCGGGGCCCACGGTCCCCACCCCCCCAGATGGGATGGGTCCCAGGGTCCTCGGGCCCACGGCCCCCCCCCCCCAAGATGGGATGAGGGGAGGAGGAGGAGGAGGAGGAGGAGGAGGAGGAGGACGACGACGACGACGGCGACGACGACGACGACGACGACGACGAAGACACCCCCAGATGGGATGTGGAGGGGGAGGAAGAGGAGGAGGAGGAGGAGGAGGAGGAAGAGGAAGAGGAGGAGGAGGAGGAGGAGGAAGGAGGAGGAGGAGGAGGACGACGGCGACGACGAAGACACCGTCCGCTCCGGCTCCCTGAAGCACCAGAACACAACGCCACACCCAGAAGGAGGCGACGACGGTGAAGACACCGTCGACGACAATGTTCCTTGTCCTCCTCCCCCCATCCGCCTCTCTCCCTCCTCATTTTTGGCCCTCTCTTCCCTACCTTGCTCCCCCCTCCCGCTTCCTCTCCCCATGTAGCCGCCACTCTCCGTCGGCAAAGGCTGAGGACGACGACGATGGCGAAGACGCCGACGCCGACTCTTGGCTGAGGCGGACCCCTAACCACCGCACACCCACAGGGGGGACCCCACACCACTCCCACAGGGGGGGGGGCCACCACGCCACGCCCACGCCCACAGGGGGAGGGGGAGGGGGGCCATCGCGCGGGAAAGGGGGGGGGGGGCCGATGGCATTAGCATTGGAGGGGGGGGGGGTCCAAACCCTCGACCATATATATAACGACGCGCTGGGCCCCAGGGGGCCTGGCGGCCGCGATACCCCGACCACGAAGGAGTGGCCCGGGGCCGGGGCAGGGCCTGGGACCGCCTGCCAGCCGCCCCAGATCGCCAAGTTGACGCCGTCGGAGGGCCACCCGGGCGGCCCGCGGCAGCTCGGAGCCACCCCCCAGGACGGCCTCCCGTGGTCCCTCGCGGCCACCACGAGGCTGAACCTCCAGGGACGCTCAGGACAGCGGGACCTCCAGGAGGCCCTCCAGAATGCATCCGAGGAGCTCAAAACCTGCAAAAACCGAGGGGGAATCGACGATCTTCACCTTCTCGCCGTTCCGCCTCCGCTGGGCTGTTCACGCCTCCAATCTGCCCCTAAGAGGCCACCAGGAGGCCCAGAGACGCCTTCAAATAGGCTCCAAGAGGCCCCAAGAAGCCGACATGGGCAAGCGGACGGACAGCGGAGGCAGAGAGAGGAGGGGGAGGAAGAGAGGAAGGCGGGGCGCGGCACTGCGAACTCGAGACAAGACAGCGGCAGGGAGTGTTTGGAACAACATCTCGGCGCGGCGCGCGGAGGCCGTGCCGAGCAGCTGTGGCGCCCGCCTTGTCGGCGGTGCTGAGGTGCCCTTTACGGCGCACGCCTCGCGGCAAGCCGTGAAAAGCGTGCGAGCGGGCACACGTCTGGCGCGCGCACGCTGAGGCGTCACACACCTGGCCAGGCCAGGGCACGCTGCGAACGAGGGGCGCCGCGCGCGCCTGAAACTGGTTGCGTCTGCAGCGGCAGGAGCCACGACCGCCGCAGCGCGCGGCAGCCACGGCACGCGGCAACCCGCGACGGCCGCGGGCGGCTCGGCCGCCTCCACCACAGCCCGGCTGCGGCGGCCGCCGCGGCGGCCGCCGCGGCGGTCGCCGCGAACAGCTGCGCCGCGGCCTGCCTGTCGCCTCAGATGCCCGGGGTGGCCGCGGGCGAGCGACGCGCAACCGCCGCGGCAGCGGCGGCGGACGACGACAACTCCGCCGACGCCCACACCGTCAACGATGACGCCGACGCTGACGCCGAGGCCGCCACCGCCGCCGCCACTGCCGCTGCCGCCGCCGCCGCCGCCGCCGACGACGACGACGATGACGACGACGACGACGACAAAAAAAAAAGACGACGACGACGACGACGACGACGACACGACGACGACGACGACGACGACGACGACGGCGGCGGACGACGACGACGACGACGACGACGACGACGACGACGACGACGACGACGACGACGACGACGGCGGCGGCGCCGACGACGATGACAGCGACGACGTCGGCAAAGATCGACGACGCCCAGTAAGACCGACGAAGACGACCATGACCCAAATGCCAAGACGACGACGGCGACGACGACAACAACAGCAACAACAATCATTTTAAGACTGCTCGCTCTTCTCTGCTCGAAAGTCATTCAGCGCGTAGTTCCCAAACCCTCAATACCCGCCCTCTTCGTCTTCGATCGTACCCTCTTTGGGGGGATATCTTTCTTCCCTGCAGGCCGGGCCCTAGCAAGCGGCGGGGCGGCCGCGGACCGTCGGCCTGGCCAGTGGCAACGCTGACAGGCGGCAACCCGACCCCAAGAGGGACGGGCAGGGGACCGACCTTCACGACGACGACGACGACGACGACGACGACGACGACGACGACGACGACCGGGGGGAGGAGGAGGGGGAGCAGGAGGACAAAGGGCACGAAGGCTAGCGAAGGGGCCACAAACGGCGGCAGCGGGGTCAAGAAGGGCATGCATATGGGGCCGCGACGGGCGCGAGCGAGCTGGGGCCACGAAGAGCATACGTATACGGGGCCACTAAGGGCGACAGCGGGGCCACGAAGGGCAGTAATGGGGCCACGAAAGGCAGCGATGGGGCCACGAAGGGCGACAGCGGGACTAAGAAAAAACATGCACACGGGGCCACGACGGGCGCGTGCGAGCGGGGGCCACGAAGAGCATACGTATATGCGGCCACAGAAGGAGACAGCGTGGCCACGAAGAGCAGTAATGGGGCCGGGCGACAGCGGGGCCACGAAGGGCAGCGATGGGGCCACGAAGGGCGGCAGCCCACGGAGGGCGATAGCGGGGCCACGAAGGGCATGCGTATGGGGCCACGGAATGCGCGAGCGAGCGGGGGCCACGACGGGCATGTAATGCGGGGCCACAGAGGGCAACGATGGGGCCACTGAGGGTAGCAGCAGGGCCACGAAGCACAGCGAGGAGGCCACAAACGGCGACAACGGGGCCACGAAGGGCATGCATATGGGGCCGCGACGGGCGCGAGAGGGCGGGTGCCACGAAGAGCATATGTATATGGGGCCAAAGAAGGCGACAGCGGGGCCACGAAGGCCAGCGAGGGGGCCGCGAATGGCGACAGCGGGGCCGCGAAGGGCACGCATATGGGACCAAGACGGGCGCGAGCGAGCGGGAGCCACGAAGGGCATACAGATATGGGGCCACAAAGGGCGACAGCGGGGACAGCAAGGGCAGTAATGGGGCCACGAAGGGCAGCGAGGGGGCCACGAAGGGCGACAGCGGGGCCACCAAGGGAATGCATATGGGACCGCGACGGGCGCGTGCGAGCGGGGGCCACGAAGAGCATACGTATATGGGGCCAGAAAATCCGACAGCGGGGCCACGAAAGGCAGTGATGGGGTCACGAGGGGCGACAGCGGGGCCACGAAGGGCATGCATATGAGCCAGGACGCGCGCGAACGAGCGGGACCCACGACGGGCCTACATATATGGGGCCAGAAGATCCGACAGCGGGACCACGAAGGGCAGTGATGGGGCCACGAAGGGCAGCAATGGGGCCACGCAGGACGACTGTAGGGCCACGAAGGGCATGCGTATGGGGACACGGAAGGCGCGAACGAGCGGGGGCCACGAAGGGCATATAATGCGGGGCCACAAGGCAGCGACGGGGCCGCTGAGGGCAGCAACGGGGCCGCTGAGGGCAGCAACGGAGACACGAAGGGCAGCGAGGGGGCCACAAAGCGAGACAACGGGGCCACAAAGGGCATGCGTATGGGGCCACGACGGGCGCGAGCGAGTGGGGGCCACGAAGAGCTTACGTATATGGGGCCACTAAGGGCGACAGCGGGGCCACGAAGGGCAGCGATGGGGCCAGAAATGGCAGCGAGGAGGCAACGAAAGCCGACAGCGGGGCCACGAAGGGCATGCATATGGGGCCAAGACGGGCGCGAACGACAGAGGGCCACGAAGAGCATATGTACATGGGACCAGAAAATCCGACAGCGGGGCCACGAAGGGCAGTGATGGGACCACAAAAAGCAGCGAGGGGGCCACGAAGGGCGACAGCGGGGCCACGAAGGGCATGCGTATGGGGCCACGACGGGCGCGTGCGAGCGGGGGTCACGAAGAGCATACGTATATGGGTCCAAAAAATCCGACAGCGGGGCCACGAAGGGCAATGATGGGGCCACGAGGGGCAGCGAGGGGGCCGCGAAGGGCGACACCAGGGGCCACGAAGAGCATGCATATGGGGCCACGACGGGCGCGTGCGAGCGAGGGCCACGGAGAGCATATAATGCGGGGCCACATTGAGCAGCGACGGGGCCACTGAGGGCAGCAACGGGGCCACTAAGGGGGTCGAGCGCAGGCGACCGCGGAACCACTACGGGCAACGATGGGCATCGAGAGCGGGCGAATGGCAGCAAGAAGCGACTGCAGTCCCTGACGGGCGGGTCGGGCGGGCGGGCCCCGACGGGCGGATCCAGCGGGCGGGTCGCTGAAGCGTGAACCCTGCTTGAATCGCGAGAAATCTTTGGCGAGAGCGCAGCTCAAAAAAATTGTGAGGAAGTCCAAGACGAAAGCGCGATTCTTGAGTGTCGGGGGGGGCATCCAAATATAGCAGGAATGAGCTTCAAGCGAGAGCGCGACTTCTCAGTAGATCGCAAGGACATCTCAAGCGAAAGTCTGATTTCTCAGCAAATTTTCAAGACGTATAAAACGGGGGTCGCTATTGTTCTGTAGTTCGGGGGCCCGCCGCCCGCGTCGACGAGCGACGCCTGAGTAAATCGCGAGGAAGTCTCAAGCGAGAGCGCGATCCCTGAGTATATTGCAAGGAAGCCTCAAGCGAAAGTCGGATTTCTCCAAAATTTGCAAGGAAGGATAAGACGGGAGCCGTTGCTGCTGTAACTCGGGGACCCGCCGCCCAGTCGGACGCTCGAGACTCTCCCTGATAAGCAACAGGGCGCCAGCCCCAGGAGGGGCACTTCAATAGGAAAAACACACTGGTTACCGGAGGGGGGGGGGGAATATTTTCCAAAAGTGAGAACTCAACCACAACAGCAGCAACAACAGCAATAAACGTACGACTACAAGAACAGCAACAACAAGGACGACAACGACAAAGACAAGACCAAGAACAACAACAACAACAACAACAACAACAACAACAACAACAACAACAACAACAACAACAACACAACAACAACAACAACAACAACAACAACAACAACAATCATTTTACCCGAACGCGTGGTGTTCTCCCCAGTGCCAGGGTTTTCATACGACACCAGGCAATACCCCCACTTCGTGGGGGGGCATTACAAGCTCTACCAAATATCCAAACGACTCTTCGCGACCACCCAAACCCAGCTTCCCGCCCTATGACGTTGGGACACTTCACTTCGTGGCGTGCGGACGACCGTGGCTACTACACTGGCGTGGGGTACACACCCACAGAACCCAATGGTTTTTGGAGATTTCGGCGTGCGCGCGCGAAGAAAAAACGAATGTGTCCCGCATGGTATTATTTGACAGGGATGATGGCCCTGGCAGGTGCGCAACCGTTGTCGCAGAAGTTCGAAAAAGTTGCTCGCAAAAGCCCGTTTGACAGAAATGTTTAAAAAGTGTTGGGTTTCCTACGAATCCGCAAGAGCGCGCGGGATGAGATTTTGACATTTTTTTGTTGAAAAACCATTGGTTTTTTGATGTTTTTATGTTAAAATCGCTCCGAACACTAAGCTTTTGGAAGGATTTCGTCTTGCGCGCGCGAATGTCCACTTTACCTTATTTTTTGCAAGGGATTCTTGAAATTTGATTATATTTGAACAAGAAATTTCATTTTATAGTGTTTTTTGCAAGGGAAAGCGGATTACAACAAAACAACCGGATCTTGATCACCTCGAATTACCTGAGGCTTCCTCACGAAAATGATGAAAACGTGGCTGCGGCCTAGGCGCGGCGGGGGGGGCGCGCACCAGGGGGCCCAACAATAATTATTCTTTAGAATTAATAATGTTCAACAACAGTAGCAACAATAACAACGCCACCAACAACAAGAAGAAAAACGGCAACAACCACACCAACAACAACAACAACAACAACAACAACAACAATTACTAGCACGTGGGGACACACCGTTCTCACCAGTGCCAGGGTTTTCATAGGAGGCGGGCAATACCCCCACTTTGTGGGGGGGCCGGTTCAAGCTCTACCAAATTTCCAAACGACTCTTCGCCACCACCCACACCCAGCTTCCCGCCCTATGACGTTCGGACACTTCACTTCGTGGCATGCGGACGACCGTGGCTACTATTCAGGGCCCCGCGGCCGACGACGACGGCGTGCGCGCGCGAAGAAAAAACGAATGTGTCCCGCATGGTATTATTTGACAGGGATGATGGCCCTGGCAGGTGCGCAACCGTTGTTGCAGAAGTTCGAAAAAGTTGCTCGCAAAAGCCCGTTTGACAGAAATGATTAAAAAGTGTTGGGTTTCCTACGAATCCGCAAGAGCGCGCGGGATGAAATGTTGACATTTTTTTTTTTGAAAAACCATTGGTTTTTTGATGTTTTTATGTTAAAATCGCTACGAAAACTAAGGTTTTGGAAGGATTTCGTCTTGCGCGCGCGAATGTCCACTTTACCTTATTTTTTGCAAGGGATT